CCTTTTGTTAAAAAAAAAAACAGATCTGATCTGTTAAGTCATAAATATCATGAGGGAGTGCTGTTCTCACTGGAACCAAAGTTGCAGTAGGAACGCCTTTAAGTTCTGCCATCAGTGGGGTGTAAAGGAAAAGTTGGGATCCATGATCAGAACACCTTATTCTGAGATCTAGGTCAGGAACACACAGCCCCAGTAAACTGGACTGAAGCCCCTGGACTGTAAACACCACCTCAAAAGGGCACAGAAGTGCTTGGACTTGTTGCGGAGGATGAGGAGAGCCCACCTGCCGCCCACCCATCCTCACCACCTTCTACAGAAGCACCCTAGACAGCTGTCTCACTGTGTGGTGTGGAGGCTGCAGCGCCTCAGACTGGAAGAAAGTGAGAAGAGTGATGAGAACAGCACAGAGGCTCATCAGGGCTCCTCTTACCTTCATTAAAGTAATTTCATCCCAGCGCTGCATGTCCAGAGCCCATAACATTATCAGTGACCCCTCACCCCCCCACCATGGACTGTTCGCACTGCTGCCCTCTGGGAAGAGGCTTCGCAGCATTCGGTGAAGGTCCAGCAGATTCTGCAACAGCTTCTTCCCCACCGTCATCAGACTGCTGAACATTGAAAAAACTATAAATAATGTCACAGACTCTGCATCATATTGATAACACCAAACCAAAATACTGCATATTTGCACCATATATGTTAATGCTTAGAACTTCCATATCAATGTGTTTTTGCACCATGTTTTTTTCACCCACTCTGTTTATATTGATCTCTACTGCACTTTATGGAATGGAAATGTTCATTTGATTGCTAAGCTGCTGCTCATTCACTGAAAGCTGCACATACAAAATTTCAAAATAAAAGTTGTCTAAGTCTAAAAATGTCACTCTATTGGTCATCATTTTGCACTTCACATGTGTTGGAGGTGGACAGATGTTAGCATTGGTAGCCTAACGGGTACCAATGTGCACTGAGGGGTGGCTGAAAACTGCTGATCATGATAAACCAACAGGAAAATAATGAATGTGCCCAACATTTATGCTTTCCTAATAAATCACTGAAGACAGACCAGATTTTCAAGAGCACCTTACTAATAGCAATACACAAATATATATAAATTAGTTATGGTGAAATTAATACATTTATAGTTCTACATAATAAATACAATATTTGGGTTGAGCAGTTATTCTTTATCTTTTATTAAATAGACGATAACTAGATGAATGCAGAGACAAACTCTCCTACAAAACCTAAAAACAAATTTGTAAAAGACAGCAGGATTTTTTTTTTAATTATCCCTCTTTATTTGTAGTATATTGTTGTGAATATTTTTTGCTGTATTTCTGTTGTCAGGTTTTGGTTAATTTACTAAGTTTAAAATGTTAAAATAGGACAATTGAAATGATAGCATCCTCGTTGCCAACTTCTGGTTTAGAGCATCTTGTTCCCGAAGTGCTGAATTTCATCCACATGTGTTCGATTACTTGCCCGGAGTCTTTCTGCAAGGAGTTTGAATGTTCTCACTATATATGTGTAGATTCTCTCCAGGTACTCCGGCTTCCTCCCACAGTCCAAAAATATGACTGTTAGATTAAGGGGTGTCTCTAAACTGTCCTTAGGTGTGAGGCTGCATGGTTTTGTGTCTCTGCGTTGCCCTAAGACAGACTGGTAACTGGACTGGATGGATGGAAACAACAGATCACCTGGTAAGGGTGGCCACAGGGAAGGCCAGTGATTGGATAGTGGTGGCCATGGCCCCCCTGCCCACCCAGCTCTAGATCCACCCTTGCTGCTACGCCGCCCCGTTTACAAGACTCTGCGCTTTGTATTCTGGTACCTTTGTTACAAATCCTACAATCACTTCTTTGGTTGGTTCCTATAGTTACAATGTGCATCAATAATTCTGACACCAATGACTTTGTTACCTTTTTACCTCTTTGTCTTCCTTGGACCAATCTTGACTTGATTTGTATATAACTGTGTCCCTGGCTTGTTGGAGAGCTCCTTGGTCTCTTGTTTAAGCCAGGCATACACTGTGTGACATTTTCAATCGTTGCACGCAGTTACAGCTCAAAATGTACAATGAAACCGCAGGGTTTTAAAGCTCACAGATCACAATGTATGTCCTCACACTGTGTCTAGATGCTCTGATGCGATCTACCTGCTCACACTGCATGTCCAAAAACCACACGTCGGACTCAGCGCCGAGAGATGGAGCTGGTAGGACTCGTCAATCCGGAAGAAAAAAATCCCTTGTTTGCACATGCGCAGTGCTCGAAGTTCTTGTAAATAGACTCTGCTTCAACAGCAGGATTTGCCCACAAACACCTCACGATGGCCGACTGAATTTCAAACATGTTTGGTTTTCTCCCGACCTTAAGATTCCCGATCAGGAGGTGGTCATGAGAGGCTGATCACCCCCCGTTACCCCCTGTATACTGTATACACAACGCAGGACACACAATGAGGCTGAACCTTCGAAAAAATTCTCTCACGGCTGGAGAATTGGCCTGAAAAGGTCAAAAGATCGTACAATGTACGCCCGACTTTACTGGTAATCCCTTTCAGAAAGCAAGGGCTCATGCTCCAGTATAGACACATATGACACTTAGATGGCGTACACCTGGACACATTATTTGACGTTTAAGGCTTTTAAGGGGTTTGATATGTGCACATTACACTTTTTTGGCAGTTTTTTCCTATTATTATTATTATTATTATTATTTACATATTTTGCTTCTCATTTAATTTAACCAATTTAGGCTATTTAGTCCAGATTCATCATGTAAAAAACGATTTGAGAATGTTTGAATAATGGGTTGAAATATAACAAAAATAGGTTAAAAGGCAAGGTGGTAAATACTATGTGAGGTATTGTACATTGTGACCAGCCCACAAAAGTATTAGAGGTTCCCAAACATTTTTTCTTAAAAGAAAACATTACAAGGAAATGATAACACCACAATATCTGGATTTTTTTTTTTATGTGAATCCACTTGTGTGAAAGAGTTTTATCTGTTAGACTAAGTATCCTTTATTTTTCTTCTTTTTTTATTTTTATTTTCGCAGAGCATGCCGAGTCCCTCAATTTCCTTAGGGTTGGAAGTTCTTGTTTGGAAACCAATGATCAAGCCATTACAGTTTTGCCATTGTAAAGTTCCCTCTATCATCACATGAGTTATGATCATTTAATCCGACCATAATGCTTAATTGGACACCATCCATTCATTTACATCTATTTAGATTCATTTTTTAGCTATCACAATATCCAGAAGGGCTACAGCCAGACAGCTGTTTTGACTACCAGATTTATTCTGTCACCATTATTAAAATTTTTGCTGTAACAACTTAGGCCTGCCAGTTTGCTTCACCACTAGGAGGAGCCCCATTCAGATTATAGATTTAGTTATTTATTTGACAGGGAAAGTGTACATTAATAAGCATTCCTGCAAATGCACCACAATTAGCCAAAATAATATTTTTCATCTGTTGGACAGATCTTAAAATTGTTTATCTAAAAACACAGCAGTAAGAATTTTACAGTAAAAAATACAAACATAAAAAGAAATAAAAACAGCTATAACTCTTCAAAACTTGTTTAAAAATACAGAATTAATGTTTGCTAGACTACAGATTTTCGTTTAGTAAAATAGAATAAAACATTAGAATAAAAATAATTACACTATACATATAGAGACACAAGTGGCAGCATGGTTTGTTAATGGAAGACATTGAACTAATGCTGACATGACTGTTATGAACCAGAACCTTTTCCGTTGACAAACTTACTCTAAACTCCAATCAGAGGTGAAATAATATTCAGAAACATAAATCCAGTGTAAATGCTTCGACTTGTTGCTGCCTAATTATTATAAGTGCTTGTCTGTTAGGCCTTAATTTGACTAAGATATTATTTCTCGTGTTAGGTAATTAGAACATTTATATTTATTATTTTTTAGGTTCTGGTGAACAGAGATTTTTAAGAGCTGCTAAAAATATTGATGAAAACAATTAGAGGAACATTGTTGTAATCAAAGGATAGACTATGTAGGGTTAAATAATCACCCACAGACCTTTAATAGATCCAACAGAAAATTAATCTTTAAATGTAACCCCTAACACACACACCAACACACACACTCACAGATTTCTACAGCAACCCCACATATCTGAAGAGCAGAGGGCCAACTGCTTTGTTCGTATTTCCATGCAGTGACCCTCAGCCTGACGCTGCATCCTGCCTCAGCTAACAATAGACACCTTTAACTATCAATCGTGCTTACCAAGCAAAATGTTCTGTCAGATTCAATTATTATTAATTAGTCCAATCTACTTTAGGGAGCTACAGTATATAAATAAGGAAACAAAAGAAAGACAGAGGAGGCCATTGTTTCAATCGCTGGTTAACAAGAAAAAAGATTGACAAAAACATATTAAGTATATTTTATTATTACACAATAATTTTCAGCTTTATAAAACTATTAATGTTATTGTCATTATCATTAGCCTATTGTTATAATCATATTATTATGATATTGCAAATAAAACCACACTGCGACCATCTCCTTTATTTTCTTATTTCCTTTCTTAAAAGCTTGCCTGACAACAGCTTAAGATGTGCATGGAGAGAGTGAATCCTCCTGTCCAGGCATTTTTCCGCGAGGAGGCAGCGATCATCCGTCACGTGACACCGCGCTAACCAATTGGAGAAGAGGAACTTAACTTTGGCCATAAGGGAAGGGCAGTAAAGAGCGATCAGCGCGCAGGAGTTTCTCTCTGTGTTCATTAATGATCATCAGCGCAAATCCAGCCTACAGTTGGACTTACTGGCTCCGAAAGCAGAAAGGGTTTAGACAGGGTCCACCTGGAGCTTGATCTGGGTTTTTTTTTTTTGTTTTTTTCCTCAGCAGGCTATGCCAGGCTGCAGCAGCACATACAGTGCATCCAATCTTTGCTTTAATTAGACAATCATTTCTGACTGGCGGCTCTCTGTAGCTCAGATGTTGGGAGACAAGGCTCACGGTAAGGCAACAAACTGCTCTGCTTGTTCTTCTACCTGCTGCCATCATCTACTTCAAGCCTGTTGCTCTTATTATGCTGTCCCAGTCAAGAAATCAACTTGTATGGTTCCTGCACATTTTCCTTCATTTAAATTAAGGACT